TCTTCTTCCCTAAACTTGATTCCCCCCTCGACCTGAATCCCACCACTAACCCATGCCGTCGCGGCCACTTTTGATAGGGGCCATCGGGTCCGACTTCGCTTCAAGAGACCCTCGACAACCTCCATGGCCCCTCTTAGCCCCTTTGCGTCGAACCGGGCAAGGTCAGCTTCGTGGTCGCCTTCGCCTTCCTCCCCTTCCCGGGCCCCATATTCGATCCAGCGCCATTCTACCCGAGCAATTCGATGGCTAGTTCGACTCCTCATGCGCATCTGCATCGCTTGGTCGCCGACACCAGGGTGTGGGTCGAAGGGTAGTCTCGTCTCGAGGAGCGCGTATAGTAGAACACCGAGAGACCAGGCATCCGTCGCTCGACCGTCGTAGGACTGGCCCATAATCACTTCCGGAGCGGCGTAGTCGTCGGAACCACATCTTGTCTCGAGCTTCTCGTCATCGGCAACACGGCGAGACAGACCCAAGTCGGTAAGCGTGATGACTGAATAGGGGTATGTTGCCCAGTCGGTGGTAGACGAACACAACTCGGCCGGAGTAAGATTGACAAGGACATCTGAAGGGAGTCAGTACATGATCCAACGGAAGGGTTGTCAAGGTAACACTTACTCTCAAGTTTAATGTCCCGATGCACTATCCTCCTCTCGTGAAGATAGCCCACTGCACCGACAAGCTCAGCAAACATTCTCCGCAAAAGTGCCGGGCTGAGCATATCCCGGTGGGCGCTAGCCACATCAAAGAGATCCCCACCGGGGCAGTAGCTAAGCACGAGTATTGCCCGTGTCGGTTCGATATTCCACGCTTTGAGATGCACTAGAGACGGATGGTGTATGCTTTGCATGATTTCGAGCTCGCGCTTCAAACTCATCTCTATCCGGTCCTCTGAAGCTCCCCCACGGGGACCGTGCTCGCAGACCTTGACGGCCACCAAAGCACGGCGGTCATACCGAGGAACTGGCTCCGGAGTCAGTAGGCCGCTGCTGGTAGTCGATGCATACTCCTCGTCATCAGAGGGTGAAGATGATATTTGACTCGTGGCAAGCATGACGCGGCTAAAAGTACCCTGGCCGAGCATCTTGATCGCTCGCCAGCGTCGTTTTTTCCTGTCGTGTCTTCCGTAGGCTTCAAAGTACTCGGGCCTCGACGAGGACTTGGTACTTCTTATGCTGGCTCCCGAGCCATTGACTGACGAAGACTCGCTTGGCGGGGGTGTTGGCGGCTGCTCGATGGGCGTTAGACCCCTTGTTTGGGACAGATGGGGCTCCCGGCGCATATGGCTCTCGAAGGCGGATTCGATCTTCTTCAGCTCCGGCTTGGCATGTGACCCGGACACGGTCATCATGCGCCTCGGCACTAGCATCGGGTCCGGTACGTACTCGCTAATACTCCGTTGCCTCGTATGCGCCGGCGCCTTCCCCCGCGCACCGTCCTGTTCTCCCGCCGCAACGTCATCTATTGCCGGCCCCGACCCAGAGGCTAGCCCCGCATATGCCTTTCTCTTGTTGTGGTTGGCGATGGCGCTGGCTATGGACTCTCCAGCACTTGTCACCAACGCACTATCCGCAGCCATGGGTGGAAATGATGGCGCATCGCGCGACGACCGCTTACCCAGCTTCCTCCATGGCCCTGGTGAATCACTCGATAGCAACGGCGAAGGCAAAGGTGTGACGTCGCCCATAGCGGTAATGATGGGGCTCGAGACTGTAGAGCTCGCTGCAGACGAGGGACCAAAAGCGTGAGATAATACGCCCGCCTTGAAGCTCGGGGTCCGTGAGACTTTAAGGGAGGAAGTAGATGTCTTATGTTGCAACGTTAGTGTAGGACGTGTCGACGGCGTCGCGAAGAGGCTGGAGTTGTCTGCGTTGATGGGCGTCACCGGGTGGATATCGGTCTGGAGTCGCAGTGTGTTGCCACCGAGGGGAGCGGGATGATGCGGAAGCTGTGTTATAGGATCCGTCGAGGCTTGAGACGGTTTCTGCGGCGTAGCAGACGTCGAGGAGGGCCGCCCGGGCGGGGGCGACGGTGCGATAGTGTGGGAGCGGAATTGGATCTGACTAGCCGGGAATTGAGGTGTTGATCCTGCTGTCGTCGTCCTCGAGCTTTCGGTGCGAGTCAAGTCTGGCGTAGTTGGGGACGAGTGAGCGACGGTCGAGTTTGCTTGGGCATGGTGCTGGTTGAGAAACTCCGCCGCAGCTAGAGCGGCTGCTGCGCCTACAAGATGCGCATTTTTGTCCCCTTGGTCGTCGTCCGCAGCGTCTGACAACGATGAGGGAGACAGGGACTGGGAGACTTGGGCGGACATGGTTGCGGATGCGCTGTGTCAGCGCGGCGGGATGCTGGGAACACTCGCTGGGAGCGGGCTCCTTCTGTGCTTGTGCTTCTGCAGGACAGTGCCTGGCTGAGCAAAAGTGTGGAACCCAACCTGGAAGGGCCCTCTCTCAGCGATTGAGGTGCTGCAGCGGGCCACTGATCGGACGCAGTGGGTACCGAGTTCCAGTGTGTGCGTGGAATGACGGGAAGACCAAGATGTGGAGGGTGGCGGCCTTTTGCGATTGGCGTTGCACCCTGCGGATACCCGTCGACCGACAAGTTTGGACGGATTCACCCAGTCTCACGTCAGGAGTAAAAGATGATAGATTTTCGACGGAAATGCTCTACCTGATCTAGCTGCGTAGAGTTGTGTCAGAGACGTAGCAGTAAGCGTGGACAGACTCTAGTCGTGACTGCCTTTTGCGCCTTCCGTCTTGGCCAATCCTTGTGATCAAGTGCGGGCTTCTGAGTGCTGAAGCGCTCCACTTTCCCTGCTTGGATGCGTCTGAGGTGCAGCTGCCTCGGGGGCCAGAGGTAACGTTGGTTTCGGGAGCGAAGGGTCTCTGCCGCCAGAATCTATGTGATAATATTGAATCTATTTTCTCTCTCACCCGGGAGCATGGGTCTCGATTGAAGCCCACAAGTAACCGAGCCGCTGATATGAGATTTGTGGCAGAGTGTAAGGCAGAATGCCCTGTGAGCGCCTGCAGGGCCGAGTCTAAGTTTGAGAGGTAATTATGAAACGAGTGAAGAAAGAAAGCGACTCGTTCAAAGAAATTGTCGAAGGGAGCCCGTATGCGTCGAGTAAAGAAAGGAAGGATTGCAAGACGAGGTTCGAAACTCATGCACGCGTTTGAGGAAGCAAGTGGAGGGTCTGCTTTGTAGTACTGACACTGGAGTGGTCACATCGAATAAGTTTTTTTCTAGTCGAGGCCCGAGCAAACTTTCCTGGTCTCTAACGGTCGCTCGAGGCTCTTTAGACGCACCTGGAATGTCAGTCGACTATGAGCCCGTGACGCTTACTTGTTTGCTTTATCACTTGAGTCAAAGCCACATAAGCTGCACAGTTACATTGTGGTGGGAATGAGTGAGAGGGGAAACGCGTCAACTCGGCTTTGAGCTGGCATTGAACGCGCATCCATCTATCAGCACTTGGCTTGGCGACGCAAGTTGATCCTGAAGCTCAACTCGGTGTTCACATCAACTTAGATTACGGAACGGTTGATGGCGGCCATAGTTGTACTGCGCAACCCGGATTTCCTGCGCATTCTATCGTCAGGTTGCCCATGCAAGATTAGAGAGCAGCCGAGTGTGATACAGATATCACAGATAAGTCTCAAATCGCTCCCGTTCCGTTTATTGACTGCCTATCGACGGCACAATTTCGATAAGGCAACTCCGTCATCGGCTGTGGTCCCCTGCTCCATCATTGAGCTACGTATAGTAAATGCCTATCAATTACACATCTACTGTATCACACGAAGAGTTCTGACAGATCAATGACGCCTGGAACGATAACTATCAACACGCCAACGTTTTCATCCGCTCTTTTTTGGTTCTTCTGGAGCCGCTGGAGAGCGTGGGATATGTATAAATGGACATGGATGAACCCCAGCCCGTCATTGGCCACATGGCACCCACGATGGCCAACCGGAGACAGCAATTGGTTGCCCCTCATGCCCCTCTATTGACGACGAGACCCTTCTAAAGGGCCCTCCCTTACTTCAACGTTTCGTCAGTTGTGCCACTTGCCAGCAGGTTTGGCTACCCCAATGGATCTCACAAATGAAAGCAAACTTTCGTTGAAGCTGCCCTCCCGAGTTTCCAATTGAACTTTGCAACATCTGATGGTCACTTGAGAGGTCGCAAACTTTTGCAGATCCTATGCTCCTACCAAGGTTCAAGTCGAAATTTAACCTTCATTAGCTGGAGCCTGGAAGCCGCCGTTGTGAGACAACAGGCGTCATCTGACTTACATCTGACTTTTGGTGGAGAATGCCTGGACTATTCTGTGATCCGTACACTGAAAACGCTCCAGCATCGAGCTCCAGCTGTCGCTCCTTCGAAATGTCTGTCACCATCTCGCACCCAGTTCTATAACACCCGCATTATACGACATACGACAGCAGGCAAGGGACTCATCCTACATGCAATGTTTGCCCTGCCCTCTCTGCACCAGACTGTTGCGCCTGACAGTACAGAGCCGCTCAAAGATCGTGTGACCAGCAATCTCCTGTTTGTCGGGTCCCAGCAAGTTGTCTCTCATTTCATTACATTACCTCACAGAAGGTGCCGTGCTGCCGGATCCCAATTAACTTACATAACGAGAGCCCCCAACCATGATATCATTCCAGGTGCAACGTCGCGCAAGGTGACCTTTCTTTCGATGGTAGACATCACATGTCACGATTGCAACCGTTTACCTCTGAGCAAAGGTAACATGTTTGCAACCTAGCAGAGCTTCTTAACTGAAGCTATATGCATGTACTTTATATAGAACACCCGATTGTCACAACAAGCCCCGTGGGAAAGTTCGGTAAGAACTGACTTGCACCAGCCAACTCCTTAATCCCGTAACTCATTCAGCATACACTACTTGCTTCATTCAGTACGTAGCGTGTGATGCAAAAAGAACCGGTGCCTGTCGTCGTGGCAGAACGTTTGATACAGATGTAAAAATGCTCCCTTGCGGGGAATTGAACCCCGGGCTTCGCGGATCGACTTCTTGCTGAAATGAAAACGCGATATGTTAACCACTACACTACAAGGGATCTGATTGGTCGAATGACCAAGTTTTTGCCTTATGATGGTCAAAATGGAAGCACCAAAGAACACTCAACTCACATTGGAAGAGCAAAAAGCCCTCCCTCCCCCAAATCGGGCTGCGTGATAGGGACCGGCCACCTTCCAGCCGTCTGATCTTTCGGATTCGGATGTAAACCGATAAATCTGACCCGAAATATTCAGGCACGGTGCAGTCGCAAATTCTCTGCAGCATTTAATAATCACACTGCAGCAGCACTAGGGGATTTTAGTTCTCCGCAGCATGGGACGTCGCGCAAGAGTCGAGAATTGAAGACACTGCATGTATTCCTCAGCCTTTATCATACTTATCTTGGACATCTGGAGTCGGATTTACTAAACATCACACGTAATTACTCCGTTTTATGAAGTGATTGGAGCATGTGTAGACAATGTGGGCATCGCCTGTATGGGTATTATTGTGCAATGCCGACTTATGAGTGATGCCTTGCTAGGCAAGCTAGGCCAAATGGCCCCTTATGTCTTTCTCCTCTCCCTTACTCGTTTCTTGACGTTAGATACAGAGAACTAGTTTAGAAAGCAGGGGTGATGGCTTAGCAAATAACTACACTGAGAGAAACTTACGAGTCGACTTCTTTGACGCATTACAGAGTACTGTGGTTTGACTTCCACTTTATCACCTGGAGGATAGCCTAATGCGGCTTCAGATCGTAGATACCTATTCTCCAAGGTGGAGACATATTATCTACATCCGCCATGCCTTTTCTGTATTGCCAAGCACGAAATTGTAGATCGAGCTGCCTTAACCTAAGCACCCCGTTCCCCATACCCAGACAGGGCAATGAATGATATGCAGTTGCAGGCAGGCATACGTATCTAGCCTGGCTACCTGCAACGCATCATATGAAAAGGTTTAGTTTAATCTGGCTTGTCAATTCCATAGATGAAGACATATTCCACCCCCCCGAAAGATACCTTCAAAACGTGTCACTGCGACAAGCTGCCTCATTTACAGTCGCGCGCTCTGCACACCCGATAATCACCAGAGAAGCACATGATTCAAACATTATGTAAAGGGCGGCATGCTCGCCTTCATATCCTCTCTTGATGTCCAAGTATCAAGGAAGCGGGCCCAACCCCCTTAACGCCCATGTACCATCCAGTCGGAGTGCATAAGATACTACTGCTCGGTTGGACCGACCAACCTACAAAGTGCTCATAACCCGAGCACAAGTGTTCCAGCATCAGACATGCTCTCCGTCTTGATTGGCGTGCAGTTCCTTGTGGACATTATGACTCGGCTTGCTCGCATATTTGGCAGCAACGAGGCTTTCTGGGTACCTTAAGGTTTCGGTGATCCCGCCTTGCCGTCCTTGTTATCCTCCTCCTTGGCCCTCCTCGTCAAAATCTCATCCACAATCCCGTGATCCCGTGCCTCCTCGGCCGTCATGTACTTGTCGCGCTCCATCATGTCGTTGATAGCCTCGAGGTCGTACTTGTCGTGCCTAGAGGACTTGTTGAGGTGGTGAAGGGCTATCTTATTCACCTGCTCCCTTAACCTCTGGATCTGGTTGGCGTATATCAAGATATCGGTCGCCTGGCCCCTGGTTCCACCGAGCGGCTGGTGAATCATTATGGAGCTATGCGGCAGCGCATACCGCTTCCCTGGCTCGCCCCCGAGCAAGAGGATAGCAGCCATGGAGGCCGCAGCGCCCACACACACTGTCGATACGGGTGACTTGATGTATGTCATGGTATCGTAGATGGCCAACCCCGAACTGACCTCGCCTCCGGGAGAGTTGATGTACATAGTTATCGGCTTGTCTGGGCTGTCGGACTCGAGCCAGAGCATCTGCGCCACGATCGCCGCCGATACCGTGCCGTCTATCGGGCCGTTTAGGCATATTATCCGTTCCTGGTTTCAAGTCAGACCCGGCAGGTCGCATTGAAGGGGGAGGAGAGGGGAGGAGAGGGGAGGAGAGGGGAGGAGGAGAGTGTTTGCGACGGACCTGTAATAGCTTGGAGAAGATGTCGGCTTCGAGAACCTGTCAGCGCGAGCCAATTGAACGATCGGATGCTCCTAGAAGGTAAGACATACATGTTCGCCATCCTCCAGACTAAACTGTCAGCATCACTGCCCTAACGGAGGGAAAGGCGCCGGGAAGAACGTACTGTGACTTCGGTGATGTATGGCATCGGAATCGAGCCGACGGGACTACTTGCGGGGCCCATCGGAAACTGTGAGAAGCGCCGACATTGTGGCGCGCCAATGCTCCTGGCAATGCGCCATGCTATCCTTTGGGAATTCATTGCTGTGATGTAAGGGCGACCTGCGTCTATTCGCAAAGCGCATTCGAAAGCTAAGATGGAGTCAATGGGTTGACGTGGGATGTCAGAGTTGGCGCTAGCTCAGGGAAGCTACGGCCTGGAGCACGGACGCGACTCGGCTAAGACGCGCCCGAGACAGCTATAGCCTATAAATAAAGCTTGCAACTGCAGCTTTTTAACTGCACCAGGCACGTGAGCTTTAAAAGGAACACACTCTTTCACAATAATTAGGGGATGCGATGAGGGTGCTTGCGGGCGTGCTCGGCAACTCGAGAAGAAGCCTCAGTACACTTTCTCCTCGCACATGGCAACGCTCGGTCTCGCAACTAGCTGGTTCATCCACAGAGGAGGCGCCAAGCTCCAAAGACGCTGAAAATGAAGCAGACACGACGACTCTGCTCAAGGTCGATGCGTCGACCAAGACGATCACCACCGCTGCCGGAGCACTGCCTATATCTCCTTTGATGGACCCGGCCTTCCATGATGCCAGGGAAAGATTCACAAAACCCAAAGGGCCCGAGCCTCCAGTTTACCAAAAGACCAAGTTCCAACGGCTTCTGGCCCGTAATCCGTATGGTAGGGAGCTACACCGCCGTTCCGCAGAAAAAGCCAACAACTAACGTAGGCACAGCTCAAGCCTTGGCCACCCCGATCCGGAGGTGTCCGGCCACAGGGGTGCACCTTCCAAAGCATTTCCTCCAAGGTTTCAGGTTCATGTCTCACCCCGAGACTGGAAGGCCATATTGGGTACCACAAGGTCTCGAAAAGAAACAGTCTCAAACAACAGCCATGGAAGGAACGACCGACAATGGTGAAAGGGACACTGCGCCCGCAACTGCCGAGGGTGAATTGGCCGCCAACGCCAGGACTCCACTAGGTCCTACCGGCTACTTTCTGTCTAGCCAGAAGCTTTTGAAAGGATTTCTGACGCCAGGATCACCCTACTTCGGAAGAGAGAAATCCCTTCTTCAAATGAACCGGTCTAGTGCCGAGCGTCTCAGGTCCGTGCTCAGAAAGGTGGTATGGCGCGATGGCATGGACGCTTTCATACTCGATTTGACGCGCCGACGTATCGTGGAGGGCCTGGTTGAGTTTTCCGAATTGGTAGAGAAGGCCGGCCGGAAGTACCTGATCAAATGCGAGAGCTGGGACGATGCCAAGCAATACAAGCACCGTGGATGTCTTCTCTATCTGGGCAGCTCGGACTCGGCGCAAGACGCTGTGGGCGCACCGCCTGCACAGCTTTCCACCATGACCATTCCCGATGTAAGGTTCGGCGGCAAGCTTGCGGTGCACGACTTGGCCGTTCTCCTGGGCGACGAGCATCTGAATCGACTAAGACAAGAATCACCGCTCCTACGCGACGGCTCGCTGTTCTTGCTGGGCAGACAACGAACGCTGGATCTGCAGTTGCTGCTCTGGAAACTTCAAGGCTACATCGCACTACGCTAGCCTTGCACGATTTGACGACCATGAGACTTTCTCGACTGGAACGGACTACCTTACTTTTACCTTCTTGGCGGTGTGGCAGTCAAAGTCAACGCATGTTGCCGCCCAAAGAGGACTTCAGCAGAAAAAAACAGATGAGGAATGTTGGCTGGAGATATCCCTTACGCCGCCCGTCAGCGAGGCCTTGGGTCTCTCGTGCGTTAGCAAAGGTAGTACGCAAATGCTTGGGGGTCAGCACAAACATGCTATGCCAGAGTGGGAGGGGATCCTGTCACGGGACTCTCAGCCTTGCGCATTCTTCTATGGACCCCTGCAAAAGCTGCATACACCGGGCAAAAATCCTGCATGGCGTTCTGGAATGGGGACAAGGCGAACAATCAGCCATCAGAGCGCTGACGTCTGCGCTGGGGATCGACTCCCCGACGCCGCACACTGCCCCAGGCTCACTCAACCGGGGGTAAGATGTGATTGAATCGTGCAGGCCGGTGCCTCAGCCCCAGCAACATTCTCACCGGTGCTTTTCTTCAAAATTCCTCTCATTCATCGATGCCCACCATACGCACAACTTCGCATGAGAGCACTTTGGGCGGCAGTATACGAGAGCGGTGGACATGACAACCTCCGACCAGACCCCAGTGCTCGTGGCACAAGAGCAGGCCACACAACCTACCACACAAACAGATGTCGCAATCAAACCAGTCCCCGGCCTTCGCGTTACGCCAGTGCAGCAGCTCGATCATGGGGCTGCCTCGCAGTCACCTTGTCAACGCACCTGGACTCGAAAGTTCAGTATCGCAATCAAAACGACGGGAATCATTGCGTTCCTCCTTTCATGTGTCGCCCTTTGGCCAGCCATTACCTCGGCATCCGACACGAAAAGGGCAACCTTGCTCGCCGAATGGACATCAATGAAGGATTTCATTGAGTTCTGCGAGTCTGTACGTCTTGAATGTAGAGTTATTCACTCTGCTCGGGGCTACTAACAGAGGCTTAAGCATGCACTCGACACTCCCGACTGTCTCAAGGCAAGAAACACGACATTGCGTCCCCCGCCTGTGTATTCGAGAGTGTGGCCTCGATCCGCTTTTAAACTTGCAGCCAGCATGAAGCCTGATTATTCCGACCTTCAAGAAGTTGGGATCGCTATCATGTTCTTTTCGTTCATCTTTCTAGTCGTCGTCTTCACTCGCGTCAGCTCCAGAGGCCAGCTGGTCAGACGGAGATTCGCCCC